AGTGAAGATCTGAAGGTAGGAAATTCCCCTTCTCTGTTCTCCGGGTAATGTCTTCAGTGGGCCTTTAAGGTAAGGGTAAATCTGCCCCGTTTAAAGAAGGTAACGCATTCTTGGTTTGGGACTCTTTAGGTTTTAAAATATGTTGACCGGCTTTTTGTAAAGGAATAAGAAGAAGAGAGATAATGTGCTTCCCTGGGGCTGGTTTTTGGGGGCATTGTCAAAAGACGGATAATACATGTCAGGTAATGGGAACAAGCCCATTAACTGTCTCATGCCCGGGGGGGAAATTTATAAATTTGGGGAAAGGGTTTGGGGAGAAGAGCCCGCCCAGATAAGTACATTAGCTATAGATTTCATTAAGTCCCAAGGGGGGTCCCAAAACATTGTAGCATCTTTTCCCAGAAAGGGGGGGTAGGAAAAAGAATGGTTTTTCTAGGGCAATTTGGGGTAAATTGTTTGGGGAAAAAAGATATCAAGGGAAAATTTCAATCCCATTCATTGGGCAACTGGAACCAAAATTTTATGGCAAAAAAGATATTATCAAGGGGGGGGTTCTTCTCTCTGGGGGGAGGGGTTGTAGCACTTGCGACTCGATTGAGGGAAGGGCCCTTTTGGGGAAAGCCTTTTGAATTAAACTGATTTAAAATAAGGTATGGGGGTGTGTGGGAAAAAAAGCAGGTTTCAACACTAGGGTTTGGAAAAAAGTAAATGTAAAAAAAAGGGATTCAGCATGAAGTTATAAATAAAGACATAGAACAGGTCATAAAACAAAGGGGGGCAGCAGAGTGGAGCAAGGGGCTAGCTCCCTTAAGGGTTTTTTTTACCCAATACAGGAGTGTTAAATAAATAGAGGGGCTAAAATTTTAAATTTCAAATGCAGGGAAAAATAGATATTATTGCTAAAAAAAGAGAATGGGTCAATCTGAAAGATAGAGAGATGCCATCTGAAATTTACTACAAGGCATAAATTAATTTCCCCACGGGCAGGGTTTAACAGGAAAAGGGGGTGGAGGTTTTTGCGATGTATTCAGAGACAATTTTAAAATTTTTTTGTTAGACAAGGGTATTAAATTGAAAGGGCAACCACTGAATCTTTTGGTTTCAGCTTCTGGGGGGCCGAGAAAAACTAAAATTTTGGGGGTGGTTTTACCCGGGGCCCCCAAAACTTTAAAGGGAGTGCGAAAAAATTTTATGGGACGAAATTCGTAAGGCCCTACCCTACGAAAAAATTTTTTTGTGCTAATGGGGATTTCAACAAAAAACAAATTGATGGAGCAATTTGACAGGAAATTTTAGTCGGGTGACTTTTTTTGATCGATCCAGGGGTTGTTTTTTTTAAAAAAATTTGTGAAAAAGCCAACTAGGGAAATAACCTCCTTTACCTTTTTTTGCCCGTAGGGAAAAACTAATTAATTAAAATTTCCCCTTTTTTTTTTGGGGTTTAAAGATGACTTTGGGGGGAGTGATCACAAATCACTCAGTTTTTAAAATATCCCTGGAATTCCCCCAATAAAGGGAAAAACAAGTCTCCGTCCCTGAAATTTTTGCTGGCTGTTTTCTTTGGAATGAAAAAATTTTTTTTGGTGGCTGAAAATGGAAAAGACCTGACTAGGGGTCGGTAGGGGGTGATGGTTTTCCGATATATGCTTTCCAGGGGCATAGTTTTTCTGGGTCCCATCAAAATTTTGTTCCAAATAGGGAAATCGATCAAACAAAAAATGATCCTAAATGGATGAACAATAGATTAAAATATCGATTGGTCAAAAGAGAGGCCCTATATAGGCAAATTAAAAGAGGAAAAGGGGGAATTAAGGAAAAACGATATTTCATTAAAGAAAAAAATAAAAAAGGGAATTAGAAAAGCAAAAAGAGATTATGAGGGTTTAAAAAAGCAAGAGAATCGAAGGGCTAACCCAAAAAAGGGTTTTTCCGGTATACAGAAGAAAAACAGGACAAGATAGGCCCCCTCAAAAGTTCCCCGGGTCGCCCTGCGTGATAAGGAAATGTGTAGAATTTTTAACAATTTCTTTCCCCTCAGTTTTTTAAAAGGAGGATACCAGTGATTAAACCCGTAATGATAAATTATTTTAGAACAGGGCGATAATAAAATGTGCACTATTGGGTCAAAAAGTGACATGGGGCCCCCCAGGCAAATAGATAAATTAAAAACCCAACAAATCCCCCGGGCCCGATGAATGTAAAAAAAGGGGTTTTAAAGGAATGTTTAAAAAGGGGCTTAGCACACCTTTGGGTAATCTTTTAACATATACTACAAAAACTGGCATGGTGCCAGATAAGGGGAAAAAGGCAAATTGAACCCATTTTTTTAAAAAAGGGACAAAGGGCCTTAGCTTCGAAATAAAGACCAAAAAGCCTTAAACCCATAGTGGGGAAAAATTTTTGGAATCAATTTAATTTTCCGAGGCGGGTTTGTAGGGCCCCCTTGAAAAGCATAAATTAAAACAACCCAATCTCAGCATGGTTTTAAAAAAAGGAGTTTTTGCCTTAAAAAATTATTAACTTTTTTCCTAAGGTATTTGAGGGGGTTGTCATGGTAACGAATATGTATTGTGGGAAAATGACTTCAGTAAGGCTTTTGAACAGGGTTCCCCCATCATAGGGCTATTGAGGAAAATTAAAGCACATGGGAAAAGGGGGAGAAAATTTTTTCCGGGGTAGGGCATGGTTTCCCAAAAAGGCACAGGAGTTTGCATAAATGGGGAGGGAAAACAGAGTTTGGGGGAACCCTTTACAGCTGGGGTTCCCCCGGGGTCATTTTTGGGGCCCCCCGCTGTTCACAATCTACATAAACGGAAAATAGATGAGGGGATAAAGAGGGCCTCGGCAAGTTTTTTGATGACACCAAAAAATGGCCCTCGGGGAAATTTTTTGACGAGGACCAACCCAAATTTAATAATTTGCCCTTCACCCTTGAAAAGCCATAACCGGGAACCAAACTTTCCCCCCAAAACCTCCTTTTTCCCCCCCAAAACCTTTTTAACAATATGTTTTCCCTAAGATTTTTTTTGTTTTTACTATAAGTTTAAAGGGTATTTGGGGGAAAAAAAATTGGGGTAAAAAGAGAAAAATCTTGAAAGGGTTTTTACAAAGGGAAGGAAAAGGGGGGTTAAAAGATTAAAAAAAAAAGAGGTGTAAAAAAGGGCAATGTGGGGGCCCCCTTTTAAAAAAAGAAAATAGAAAAAAAAGGGCAGAAAAAAAAAAAGGGGGGGAATATTTGCAGTTTAAAAACGAGAGGGGGGAAGGGGTAGGTTTTTGGAGGAAACTTTTTTAAAAAAATTTAAACCCCCCCCCCCAAAATTTTATTTTAATTTAATTTTAAACATAAATCTTCAAATTTGGAATTTTTTAAATCCCCAAACCCCAAAAATGCAAAAAGAAAAAATCCCCTTTTTTTTGACTATAATTTAACCCATTTTCCGCACCCCCCAAAAATTTTTTTTTAAACCCCCCTTAAAAAATTTAAAAAAATTTGGGGGACATTTTTAAAAAACTTTTTTGGAATAATTTTTTTAAAAACCCCAACCGACCTCCTATTATAAAAAACCTTTTTAACTTTGACTTCACTACCTAAATTGAAAATTTAATTGTTTTAAAAACAAAAAAGGGTTTTTTAAAAAAAATAAATTAATGAAAACTCCACTTTTTTAGTTAAAAATCTAAAAAAAATATTTAAAATCCCGTTTAATTATTTGTTTTCCCAATTCCTTAAAAAACCCCACCTTTTTTTATATTAAAATTTCCCCAAAATTTTTTAAAATTTTTTTTACCCCCCCATTTTATAAAGGGACTTTTCAAATTGATCAAATTCCCCCTTTCAGTTTTTGCCTTGCAACCGGTACCCTTTTTTTTTTAAATTTTAAAAAAAATTCTAAACCCCCACTATTCCCCCCCCCTTTTTAAAATTTGAATTTTAGTCTTTAACCCCCTTTTGAACTCACCAAACCCCCCCCCTTTCCCCCCTCCCTTCCCCCAAAAAATGTTTTCCCCTTTTTTTTTTTTTTCCCCCCTCCCCAAAAGCCCCGTTATTTTTTTTTAATGTTTCGGGCCCCGGGTTTTTTTTTATTCTTTAAAAAAAAATTTTTTTTTAAAACTTGGGGGCCCTCCCCACTTAATTTGTTCCGCTTTTTAACACTTCTGTCAGACCCCATCATTCCAGCTGCTTTACCCCCTTTCTTGTAATGCCTCACGCACCTTCCCCACACTCGCATCCTGCTCTTCTTCACTCCTAAAAGATGTTATACCTCTCTGTCCAGTGCATGAATATTCCCACCATCTACCCAATGCCTCAGCTTCCCCTATTCTGCTTTTAACTGACAAATCCATTCGTTCCCTAGGGTTTCTTAACTTGTTTATCTCACTCCAAAACTTTTTCTTATTTTCATCAAAATTTCTTGACAGATGCCTCTCCCATCTATCATCTGCTCTCCTCTCCTCTCTCACCACTCTCTTCACCTTTCTTTATACTCTCCATATACTCTGCTCTTCTTATAACACTTCTACTTTGTAAAAACCTCTCATGAGCTACGGTTATCGGCTGTATGGGACACATCCCTCTGCCAGCCCAGCTGCTTTGCACATCAGTTTGGCTGTCTCTCTGGGCAAGTGAGGAAGCTTCTGCTCATTCATCCAAACATTTCGGTATACATTACATTGTTTTTTGGTGGTTTTACATTAAGTGCAACTGCAAATAAGTAACCATGGCCCCCAAGTTCCTAGTAAAGTTCCTTTGGTAAAGAAAGTGAGAAACACGATGGAATTTAAGAAACTACTTGTTCAAAAGTTTGAGTGGTTTTTGAGTGCTAGAACTTGCCAGGATGTATGGGAAAAACAAATCAACAAGGAGATCTAAACTATCATACCTGAGCACCTCTGCAAAGAGTGATTGACGGCGATTGTTTTTTTTTTTTTTTTGGTCATCCTGTCTCGTAGAGAGAGAGAGCCAAATTGTTAAAAAAAAAAGTGTTTTTAATTGTTTACAGGTATCAGCTGTGCTGGCAAATGATGAGGTCATGTTGTGCATCAAACAAGGAGAACATGGCTCCACCTATGGTGGCAATCCTCTAGGCTGTAAGGTATGTCTATTTTGTTCATCCAACTTCACCCACCTCCATATTCTTAAAAAAATTTATTCAATATCTATATTATTTCTCATGTTATGTGCTAGTATATTTTGGGTATAGTGTATATATCTTTAAGGACAAATATTAATTACCTATATAAATCAGGTCATTAGTTAATGACAAAGTCATTTGGTAATTTGTTATGGATCATCACAACATGTATGGTTAACTGATAAATTTTATCCTAACCTAACTTTGACACTTTGACTTTATGAAATTTGATCAGCACTCTGTGACCCATGTGGATTTAGTGCTTAGTTTTTTAAAATGATATTTGATAGTACAGCCTGGAATGCTAACTTTAACGAGCCAAATTCTGGGACGTGAAAAGACCTGCATGTAATCAGCCTATGGTAAACCTGCTCTCAGTCCTAATCTTGCTTCTTACCCACAATCACAGGCAGGCCCTGCTTAACAGTGTTTTGCTAATGCATTGGCTTTCAGTTATACCCATTTTTCATTTATTCAGACTTTCTACAATAAATACATACAACACTTGGTATAAGCTCGGGACAAAAATCTTTTAAGATAAATAATGTGTGCATTGTATATGCATATTTTAAGGCCTAGCTCTGTTGCTCACTTAACATATGATAGTGTAAGCATGTTGTCAGGCTTTTATATGCATTTGAAAGTGAAAAAAGGTTGTGTTTCACTTTACAGAGATTTTTTGCTTTAGAGCAGCAGCCCTCCTATAGGTGAATTACATATCTTGTGTACTCATCTTAACCTTTCAGGACTGGCACAGATTATAATCAGGGTGTCTACAGAGGGAGCTTTCGGGAGAGACTTTATTTTACATGTTTTGGATACAGAATTTTTTTAATACGAATGAATGTATTATAAGCTGAAAAGTACGTGAATACCACGAGTAGGAAACTTTGAGTATAATAGTGTTTGGCTTAATCTGCACGTCTTTTCAAGTATGTGAAATACAGGAGTTTATATAGTGGAAAGATGAGCGAGGTGTAATAGCAACGTGGAAAACGTCTAACACTTGAAGCGACGAACATAACCTGATCTGAATCCACCACATAATATAGAATGAAAACATATTTGTCTCTCATAACATTCTTTATGAAAATTTCTACTTCAGGTTGGTCTAGTAGCTTTGCAAGTGATAGAGGAAGAGAACCTGGCAAGGAATGCAGAAAAGATGGGCTTAATCTTACGCTCTGAGCTATCAAAATTACCAAAGGAAATAATTTCCGTTGTGCGAGGACGAGGACTACTGAATGCCATTGTTATCAACGAGAGTAAGTAGAACTTTTTTGTCTCTTGGCTATTTTGGATAAGAGTAAATGCTCAATTTAAGACTAAAAGGGGGAGTGGGTGGCAGGTAATGGTAACTGTGGTGCACAGAAATGGGATTGTAACAAAACCAAACTTTGTCCATCGTTTCTAAATCAGTTGACGTGGATTTTGTCCCGTATTTCTGATGTACATCCAATTGAAGGTTTACTGCAGTGTAGAATGAATAGTTTGTTATTGTCTTTACAATAAGGTGATAAACCTGTATGGGTCATTCATCACCAACATTTTGATATATTGTACCTTATATTATTATGGGATGGGTTGATGAAGGAAAAAAGGCAAGTGGTGTGTTGAGGTATCCATGGAGGCAAAGAAGGAAATGTACGAGTGTAGTGGTACCAACACTCTTATATGGGTGTGAAGTTTGGGTTGTAAATGCTGCAGCTGGAGGCAGTGGAGATGATGTAAATATGCAGAGAATTGGTGGTGTGGAGTTGCTGAAGAGGGGTTGTCGAGGTGGTTTAGTCATTTAGAAAGAATGACTTTGAGAGCGTATAAATCTGTTGAAGGAAGGTGGGGTAGGGGTCATCCCCAAAAAGGAGGTTTTGTTGGTGAGGGGCTTGGGTTTCCAGCAAGCGTGCATGAGTGTGTTAGGAGTGAATTGAGATGAATGGTTTTTGGGACTTGACGAGCTGTTGGAGTGTAAGCAGGGTAATATTTTGTTAAGGGAAACCGGTTAGCCGGACTTGAGTTCTGTAAGTGGGAATACAGTGATTATGTATGAGTGATGAAAGCTTTTTTCTTTTTGAGTCGCCCTGCCTCGGTGGGAAACGGCCGATGCATCACAAAAAATTTTTTTACGGGAAGTGCTAAACCCCTAGGGTCATACAACACAAGGAATGGTAACCAGGTTTGATTCAAGAAAGGAAAGGACAAGTATAATACCTCAAGGGGTACAATACTTATGAATTAGAGGTATACATTTGTATTTATTCTTATCATATTGCTTCAGAAATGTCTTGCATATTTTCTTTGTATTACAGAGTTTGATGCATGGGAAGTATGCTTACGACTTAAGGATAATGGGTTGCTTGCCAAGCCTACACATGGGGACATAATAAGATTTGCTCCACCGTTGTGTATCACAGAAGAGGAAATAACAGAATGTGTTGGTATTATCACAAATACTATCTTCTCACTGTAGTAATTTTTTAAATAGAACGAACTGATAATGATCAATTCCAAGATTAAAACGATGTTAAAGGCAATTGTACTAGACATGTAGCTTAAAAAGACAAAGCATTCCAGAAGAGATTTAATAAGTGTGATCCATTGGTATGAAACTTTAAAGTTCCAAAGATCATTAAGGTAATAATGTGATACATATATTTAAATCAAGGCTCTGTAGATTTATGACTTCAGATTATTAACCCAAGAAAGTCTAGCACTGTGGCTTATTTTTGTTGAGGTCCTTTAACACTCAGGATGTAACCCACAGGTACCTAGGTCAGCAGTGGTAAGGAGACTTGCTTATACTAGGAAATATAGCATTTATTGGAGGGGAAAGGTAATGTGGGTACATTCAAGGATAGATAGGCTGTTGATCCAAGGAACCTACCTTGAGATATCCAGTAAATTAGAAAGGAATAGGATGGTTTAATTCCTAGGGAGAAGATATATTTGGAAGAGTGCTTTGACTCCAAGAATGTGAAAGCTTTTGTAGTGTCTGACTTGCAGGATGTACTACAACTTTTTATATATACATGCTTATCTTTTTTACTGTGATATGATATTAGAATCCTCCAGTGAAAAATAGTGGACTCGCAAAATTGTAAACAACTGTGAAGACAGGGATTGAACCCATGACAAACTAGTGTATTATCCACTGTACCATGCATCACAATGCAGACTAATCTTATGCCATTATGCTCTAGTGCAAGTCCCTTTAAAGCTGTTATGGATGACTGAAAATCAGTGGCAAAGCTTTAACCAACTCTCTCAGTAGGAAGGTTTGAATCCATGACAAGCTAGTTCCTGTTTCTAGTAGGTCAGTGTGCTACCCACTGTATTGTTCCAACCAGGTATCATTTTGTATACCATAAGCCCCACTGTAATAGCACACTGGCCTAGCCGTGAATTGTTTACAACTGTTCAATGATTTAGATGCATAACTTTGAAGGAACTTTAGCTAGTGCATGTTACAGCCATGTGGTGCAAGATTAGTCTAAAAACTTGCACTGTTAAAACAGTAGGATCCATGCTAACCCTCCTATAGTATATAGAAACCTTTCTAGTTGGATGAATCATGTTAGGCTAGCATGGTACAATGGATAACACTGGCCTGCTATAGGTTTGAACCCTAAATTTTTCTTAGGTTTTATATATGTAACTTTTTCTGAACATGTAAAAAAAAAAAATTTTTAAATAAATTTTTCCTAAAAAGCAAGAATTTTCAAATTATTTTATTTATTATCACACTGGCCGATTCCCACCAAGGCAGGGTGGCCCGAAAAAGAAAAACTTTCACTCCATCACTGTCTTGCCAGAAGGGGGCTTTACACTTTTAAACCCAAAATTAACACCCCTCCTTCAGAGTGCAGGCACTGTACTTCCCATCTCCAGGACTCGAGTCCGGCCTGCCGGTTTCCCTGAATCCCTTCATAAATGTTACTTTGCTCACACTCCAACAGCACGTCAAGTATTAAAAACCATTTGTCTCCATTCACTCCTATCAAACACGCTCATGCATGCCTCCTGGAAGTCCAAGCCCCTCGCACACAAAACCTCCTTTACCCCTCCCTCCAACCTTTCCTAGGCTGACCCCTACCCCGCCTTCCTTCCACTACAGACTGATACACTCTTGAAGTCATTCTGTTTCGTCCATTCTCTCTACATGTCCGAACCCCCTCAACAAACCCTTCCTCAGCCCTCTGGACAACAGTTTTGGTAATCCCGCACCTCCTCCTTTTAAACTACGAATTCTCTGCATTATATTCACACCACACATTGCCCTCAGACATGACATCTCCACTGCCTCCAGCCTTCTCCTCGCTGCAACATTCATCACCCACGCTTCACACCCATATAAGAGCGTTGGTAAAACTATACTCTCATACATTCCCTCTGTCTCCACAGACTCCTAAGTGCACCACTCACTCTTTTTCCCTCATCAATTCTATGATTCACTCATCTTTCATAGACCCATCCGCTGACACGTCCACTCCCAAAATTTATCTGAATACGTTCACCTCCTCCATACTCTCTCCCTCCAATCTGATATTCAATCTTTCATCACCTAATTTTTTTTTATCCTCATAACCTTACTCTTTCTGTATTCACCTTTAATTTTCTTCTTTTGCACACCCTACCAAATTCATCCACCAATCTCTGCAACTTCTCTTCAGAATCTCCCAAGTGCACAGTGTCATCAGCAAAGAGCAACTGTGACAACTCCCACTTTATGTGTGATTCTTTATCTTTTTAACTCCACGCCTCTTTCCAAGACCCTCGCATTTACTTCTCTTACAACCCATCTATAAATATATTAAACCACGGTGACATCACACATCCTTAAGGCCTACTTTTACTGGGAAATAAAACTTTCCCTCTTTCCTACATACTCTAACTTGAGCCTTTACTATCCTCGTAAAAACTCTTCACTGCTTTCAGTAACCTACCTCCTACACCATACACCTTGCAACATCTGCCACATTGCCCCCCTATCCACCCTGTCATACGCCTTTTCCAAATCCATAAATGCCACAAAGACCTCTTTAGCCTTATCTAAATACTGTTCACTTATATGTTTCACTGTAAACACCTGGTCCACACACCCCCTACCTTTCCTAAAGCCTCCTTGTTCATCTGCTATCCTATTCTCCATCTTACTCTTAATTCTTTCAATTATAACTCTTTTCAAATTATACTACATAAAAATGAAACATCAAAGTCTACAGAGAAAGTGTAAGTAGAATGTATATTTTGAACTCTGTCCCAGGTGATTAGTACAGGACAGTGAAAAGTCTTGGTTTATATCATAAGTAAAGCTAAGATATGGGTCATATTAAGGGACAGGCCCCCCCCCCCTTTCCTTTTCTTTTAAGGAGCATTGTACCTGGACACTAGTTTTCAGAAGGATCTTTGTAATAATGTTGGTAGAATTACCATCATTATTATTATCAAAAAGAAGCGCTAAGCCACAAGGGCTATACAGCGCTGCAGAATTACCATCAATATGTTAGGTAAAAGGACACTTAAAATACTGCCACAATATTGCATTAGAAAGAGCTAAGCTAGATAATGATTTTATTCTTACTTTTGCTTGTACAAGATGCAATTGTGAGCTGGTGATTACTAGTGTGGTCAGGCTGTGGGAATCTAAAGTCTGGAGCAAGAATGTATTTTTTTTGTGGCAAACTCTGAAACTGAATCAATGATACATTTTCCTACTGAAATGTTGTTGAATTTGGCTTTTAATTAAGATACACGCCCACAAAAAAAAAAAAATTGAAGCTACCCTGTGTGAACCATATTGCTGCTCCAGACTTCAGGTCCCACACCCTAATCACCAACCAGTGGCAAGAACAACGGAACATTCCAGTAGGCCTACTGGCCCATGCTAGGCTAGCCCTCCTGGCGTTACCCGTCCCCTCAACATACAAGACTATTCACTTTCCTGTACTACTAAAGATGATCTAAGACAAAGCTGATATACACAGTCACTTATGCTGTGGTTGCAGGGCTTGATTTTCAGATCCTGGCCCTGCTTTTGCCAAACAAATTCACTCGTGTGTTATCATATTGAAGCAATTTATATTATCTAAAAGTTTTGCAATAAATAAAAATACTCATTCTTAGGTTAACATATAATAATATTTTTAATCTTCACCAATTTGGTTTCATGCCAGGAAAACATACAAATGATGCAGTTACAAAAATGGCTAACTCAATTTTTGCTTCTCTAGAAAATAATGAATATTCATTGGCCCTCTTAACTGATCTATAACAAGCTTTGATGCAGTATCCTACTGCTTAAACTAGAACATGAAATTGGAGGCCATGCTCTAAGTTGTGGAAACGTGTGAGGGCTTTAAAACAAGGTGGTTACTGCCTTCACAGTGCAACTAATGCCACAGTCCTACCCTCACAAATCTTCTTGTACATTCTTATTCTGATAAATGAATGGAGGGCCAGTATTATCTATGCATGAACATGAACTGCACTTACTTGAGATATGGAGCCTGTCCCTAGCTGACTTCCCTGATGGCTAATCCCTAGCCACCTTGAACTCAAAGTTAACCTTCCTGAAATTTGGACCTTTGTGCCGATGACTGCTTTCCTGTAAATATAGATACACTGAAAAATCTGTAACCTAGATTAGTTTAACAATTGTACACGAACGGTATACAATACCGACAAGTTGAAAAAGTTAGACACGTGCAACATCTGGGTATCTTTATTGTAGGATTTGTATTGATAAAGCCACCGGTTGGCAAAACGTCTACAATAAAGATACCCAGATGTTGCAAGTGTCTAAATTTTTCAACTTGTCAGTATTGTATACCATTCATGTACAAACTTGTCAGACACTGCAACATCATGGAATCCTGGTTCAGAGGACATCCACATTACCGCTTCACAGCTGCTACTACTACTTCGACTACTACTACTGCGACACTTATGCAGCATATGGGAATCTTTATTCAGGAAACGTTTCGCCACACAGTGGCTTCATCAGTCCAATACAAAGAGGAAGGCGTAAGGAGAGGAGGAGTATGAGGTAATCAGTCCCTCAGCCTGGAGTCGATGTGTTCAGTCCATCAATCTACAAGATTGATGGGGGAAGACCAACTTGTAGAAAAAAAAAAAAAATGTGGAAAAAGAGGATAAATAAATATACAAGGTATGATGTAGCACGTAATGAAAGTAGTTTGTTAGATTATGTATTGGTGGATAAAAGGTTGATGGGTAGGCTCCAGGATGTACATGTTTATAGAGGGGCAACTGATATATCGGATCATTATTTAGTTGTAGCTACAGTTAGAGTAAGAGGTAGATGGGAAAAGAGGAAGGTGGCAACAACAAGTAAGAGGGAGGTGAAAGTGTATAAACTAAGGGAGGAGGAAGTTCGGGCGAGATATAAGCGACTATTGGCAGAAAGGTGGGCTAGTGCAAAGATGAGTAGTGGGGGGGGGGGGGGGTTGAAGAGGGTTGGAATAGTTTTAAAAATGCAGTATTAGAATGTGGGGCAGAAGTTTGTGGTTATAGGAGGGTGGGGGCAGGAGGGAAGAGGAGTGATTGGTGGAATGATGAAGTAAAGGGTGTGATAAAAGAGAAAAAGGTAGCTTATGAGAGGCTTTTACAAAGCAGAAGTGTTATAAGAAGAGCAGAGTATATGGAGAGTAAAAGAAAGGTGAAGAGAGTGGTGAGTGCAAAAGGAGAGCAGATGATAGGGTGGGAGAGGCACTGTCAAGAAATTTTAATGAAAATAAGAAAAAATTTTGGAGTTAAACAAGTTAAGAAAGCCTAGGGAAAGTATGGATTTGTCAGTTAAAAACAGAGTAGGGGAATTAGTAGATGGGGAAAGGGAGGTATTAGGTAGATGGCGAGAATATTTTGAGGAACTTTTAAATGTTGAGGAAGAAAGGGAGGTGGTAATTTCATGCACTGGCCAGGGAGGCATACCATCTTTTAGGAGTGAAGAAGAACAGAATGTAAGTGGTGGAGGTACGCGAGGCATTACATAGAATGAAAGGGGGTAAAGCAGCTGGAACTGATGGGATCATGACAGAAATGTTAAAAGCAGGGGGGTATATAGTGTTGGAGTGGTTGGTACTTTTGTTTAATAAATGTGTGAAAGAGGGGAAGGTACCTAGGGATTGGCAGAGAGCATGTATAGTCCCTTTATATAAAGGGAAAGGGGACAAAAGAGATTGTAAAAATTATAGAGGAATAAGTTTACTGAGTATACCAGGAAAAGTATACAGTAGGGTTATAATTGAAAGAATTAGAGATAAGACAGAATAAGAACATAAGAAAGGAGGAACACTGCAGGAGGCCTGCTGGCCCATACTAGGCAGGTCCTTTACAATTCATCCCACTAACAAAACATTTGCCCACCCAATTTTCAATGCCCCCCAAGAAATAAGCTCTGATGTGAAAGTCCCACTCAAATCCAACCCCTCCCACTCATGTACTTATCCAACCTAGATTTGAAACTACCCAAAGTCCCAGCCTCAATAACCCAACTAGGTAGACTGTTCCACTCATCAACTACCCTATTTCCAAACCAATACTTTCCTATGTCCTTTCTAAATCTAAACTTATCTAATTTAAATCCATTACTGCGGTTCTCTCTTGGAGGGGACATCCTCAAGACCTTATTAATATCCCCTTTATTAATACCTATCTTCCACTTATACACTTCGATCAGGTCTCCCCTCATTCTTCGT